AGACATCTTGGGTGGGGTGCCCAGTGGTCCTAGAACCCCACTCTCTTATAGCCCCAGGGACCAGGATACTCTTGGGGAACACTGGCCCAAGGCCACACAGTCCCAAGAGACTGGCCAGCCCATGATTGCACCATCTTGCTTTGCAGCCTGGAGCAGGTCCCAGCTCTGCACCGGGCCTGTCCCCTCACCTGTGGGACTCATGGAGATGGTACCTTAACTAGGCTCCTGCAAACCTAGACAGTAGCTGCACTGTAGGGCACCCTGCTCAGTGTTGGTCGTCATGATGACGGCAGGCCTTGGGAAGGAGTGAAGGTGAGAAGGAGCTGGCCTGGAGGTGCCTATAGGGTGGGGAGTGTGACATACTGGGACAGCACGGAAGGACTGTGGACTGCACTTACCCTCCCTGGGGCCTCTGAATACTGGCCACCAGATTCCCAGTTCAGTTCAGTTCAGCACAGCACTGTGCCTCAGTCTCCCTCCCTGTACGCCGGAGAAAGGACCAGTGCTGGCCCACGTGGTCCCTCTCACCCTCTTCCTGCCCTTTCTTTCACAGGGTCAGTCACTTCCTGCAGGCTGTCCCTGGCCCTCACCTCCGTCCAGAGGGGTAAGGGACACCCTCTGAGCTCCCTTTGCCGAAAAGGTGATTGAGAATTGCCATCCACCCAAACATTTGGCTGTTAACACTATTCTGTGAGAACGAAGGTGATGAACCCCACTTTGGAGGGTGGGGGAATGGAAGCAGGAGGCGGCCTGAGGCTCACAGAAGCTGTGACCTGGTCAGGGCTGTTTGTAAGGACATCAAAGCCCAGGAGGGTTGGCTGTGAGGTGTGTGCACTTTCTATTTCACCAACCACCAGAGACAAACTACTTCCTGGGCGGAGTGCCTGTTATATCTGAGGCCAGAGGAAGGCCAGCCTGAGGCCTAGTGCCTTCCTGAAGGCCCAGCCTCAGCTTGTGTCCTAGCTCCTCCTGTCCCCTGGGCCCTGCAGTTCTTGAAGTCTAATCTGAAGCCTCAGACCTGACCTCTGTGTGCGCTTCCCATTGCAAGTATTCAAACTCGGAGGCCTGATCCCTTTGGCAGGAAGAATGTTCTGTGATGATGCCTAGTGCTGATCTGGAGCCAGGCCTCTCAATGTCAGGGCCACCTTTCAGTGTCAAACATCCATGTCCGGGGAATGGAAACTTTTGGGGTGCATCTGGCAGGTGGGGCCTTGCTGCTCCATTCTGGCAGGAATTTGACTGTGGCGAGTATCCAGCTTCCTCTGTGGCTTCCGCTGCCAGCCCTTGCCTGGGAGGCAAGTCTGGGCTCCCTTGGGGGGTTTCTCTTCCTACCTTTCCCTTGGAGTGTTCTCTGTGCTCAGAACATAGATGCTGGCTACTAGCCATATACAAAGACGAGCAAACCTCACTCCAGAAACCAGCCTGCCTGGGAAGTGTTGCTCAATGGGAAGCCTTACTGGTGAAAGATTAATCTCTCTTCATGACCAGGAGCCTGAGTGTAGCCTCTGAGCCCTGTCGGTGGAGCCCTGGAAAGGGCTAAGTGTGCCCTCAGGCAGCCTGGGTGGTACTTGCTTGCCCACCACTCCCCTCCAGGCCCTGGGCTCCAGGGAATGCCCACCCACAGCAGCGGCACCAGGAGAGCGCATCAGGGGAGGGGCCCTGATGGGGACTGAAGCTCTCCTGGCCTCCCAGTCTCTGTTGCCTTCTGTGGGAGAGCAGCACTCAGCTGTGCTCATTCCCAGGCCTCTGCCTACCCCTGCAGGCTGCATTCCACAGGGGGCCTTATGATGGCAAAAGGACCTTCCTCCCTCCTCTGTTTCTTCCTCTTGGGAAACCAGTCCCGAGCATGAGGGGGTTTGTTCTCCGTATACCACCCCAGAGGGCCTGCTCCCACACAGTGCAGCTCCTCCTGGCACCCTTTGGGGCAGCAAGGCCCTCCCTGAGCGGTGGCACCTGTATCCTCCCAGCCTTGCTCACCAGAGCCACCCAGAACCTCCCCATTCCCCGGGGACTATGCTGTTCCAGTGCTGCCTAAAACCATTAGTGATTCATTTACTTTTATTATTACTCTCCAAAAAAAGGGCATGAATGCAAGTATTAATTCTCCAAAAGGGACTATTAGCAACAGTGTTAGGAAAAAGGCAGAGGCCTGGATGGGTTTCCCGGTGGTCCCCCGAGGGCAGGCATGGAGACTCTAGTCAGTTTTAGCCCTGGGAATTTGAAACAGAAGTTTCCAGTGGTCACCAAGTGTTTGATTTGATTTGCATCATATTTTGCCAGCCACTCTGTGAGTTGGGCCTCATGGATCTTGCCTCGCACCGGAAGCTCTGAGCTGTGAAGGCCTCAAAGCCGCCATGCTCAGGGAGGGAGCTGAGGCCCTGTCTACATGGCTTTCCTGGGTGACGAAGCACCCATGGGGTGCTCCTGGCTGGGCAGTAGGAAGCAGAGCCCTCTGTCCTCACTCCTGTGGGGTCCCAGAGCACATGCGCTTTCCCCTTGGGTCTGCTGGCAGCCTGGTCGCCTATCCCTGGTCTTGAGCCTCTGAGGCCTGGACCTCTGCAGAGTTGCTGTCAAGGTGCTCTTCCGCACCTCCTGTGGGGGATACTCGCTCTCCTATTTCCTTTGTCACCCAGCCTCAGGCCACCTTCTGTGGTTCAAGCCCAAACTTGCAGGGCTCTACCCTTTTAAAGGAGGGAGCAGGTCTGCGGGGATAAGGAGAGGGAGCTTCGATACCTGGCATCCCTAGAATGTTCCTTCTCCCAAGTCTCCCGGGCGGCCCACAGCTGTCCTGGGGCTCAGACTGCTTTGCCTGCTGTGCTGGGATATTATTTGTCTCTCCCTTTTTCTCTTATTGAATATTTCTGTAATTTATTTCCATTTCTCCAACTGATTAAACGTTAATTGTTTTAAGTAGAATGTTCATACAGAAAAGTGCAGGAGTTATAAATGTGCAGGGCAGGAATTTCTCCTGGGGGAATACTAAGTAACCAGCACCTCCCCCCCATCTCTTTGGGCTCAGCCCCTGGCGCCCCCCACAGTTTCCAGTAGGTTGACACTCTGGCAGGATCAGTGCTGGCATACCTACCTCCGGCCTGCTGGGCACCAGGGCCAATGCAGAGGTAGTCCTAGCACACACATGGAGGCTGGGACCTAGCACCTCCATGCCTGGGAGGACACCCCCGTCAGAGCCAGAGGGCAGAGGGGCCCTCCTTCCTCTTGATCTACTTGATTTAAGTTCTGGGGGGATGCGGGTGAAATCTGCGGGTGCACACTCATGGGAAACAGCCCCGTGACAGGGGTGGCACCGTGAGGCTGCAGTAAGCCGCCTGGCAAGGCCGGAACATCTAGAGAGACAGGGATGGGCTTACTCTGGATGGAGGTGGAAAGTTGTTTACTGTACGCATGACTTCCTGAGACAACACTGTGGCCATCTCTGGTGTGAGTGTCCTCCAGAGTTTTGGGACAGGGCTGAGGATAGAAGGGACAAGTGCCTGGCAGGCAGGTAGGACCCTGGAGCTCAGCCTTCTTGGTGCTTGAGAACCATCTGCGCTGCCCCGGGGCCCAAGAGCACACACTTGTCCTGGTCTCCCAGGTCACCTGCACTGGCCTCTGTGAGCTTTGCAGTCTCTGGCTGGCCTAAAAAGAGAGGCAGAAGCAGCAGGAGGACAGTGAAAGGTGGGTGGCTGATCTGCCCATGGGCAGCCGTCCTGGCCGTTTCTTCTGGGTTCCAGTCCTACTAGAGAAAGGGGGGCAGAGCGTCAAGAGAAGAACCCCTGCATTCTCTTGGTGATTGGACCCAGCATAGCCCTTAATTCCTGCTGCTGATCTTGCTGCTGGTAAGAGAGCAAACCAAAAAGAACAACCAGGAGGCGAGGTGGTGGTCTCATGTGGCTGCTGGGCAGCGGGTGGGCATCCGGGGATGGCCTGGACACTGACAGGGCTCCCCCTGCCCATCTAGGGCCCGGGAGCTTGTTCATCAGCAGTGGGGGCATTCCTTGCTCTCTCTGGGCATTCCTTGCTCCTCCTTGTAAGGAGGAAGCTGAGAATGTCCCCCTCCTCTCTAGTAATGACTCCCCCAGAAATCATCCCCGGCTCCCTCCTTCCAGCGCTGCTTTTTGGCTCCAGTTCCACGTCTCCCGGAGAGGGCGCTCTCGAGCCAGTCCATCTTTCCCACCAGACTCGGAGCTCGGGATGCGGGCCGGGCCACCTCTGGAATACAGCGGAGGGGGGACCGGTTACCTAATATGATTCCTTCTGAGCGCTAGGGCTCCTGGGGCGGAATGACGCCTCGCTGTGCTGTGTGCCAGGCCCGCCCCACGCCGTGTCTCACATTAGTCCTCCCACAAAAGCAGCTGCCGTGTCCCCCGTGTTCACTCAAGGAAATGGGAGGGCAGAGAGTCCCGTGTGATGCTGGAGCCCAGAGCCGTGTGGAGTGAGTGTCCCGTGAGGGGAAGCATTCAAGCCAAACGCCGTTCGTGCACCTGCCGCGGCTCTCTAGTGGACGGCTACGATGAGGTGAGGTCGGGGAGGGAAGACAGGCTGGAGGCAGGAGAGGGGGACGCAGGCACTGTCCATCCCACGCAGAGCCCGACCCCACACAGACCCCCCTTCCTAGGGGCACAGCCTGCCGCGCATCCTGTATCAGCACTCTTCCCTGCCAGGACCTGCACGCCCAGAGCCCCTCTTCACGCCCCAAACACGGTCCCTTTCCTGCTGTCCATGGAGAGGTGCCCCGCCCCCGCCCCACAGCGTCGCACCCCCTGGACCCCGCCTCCCGCCCCCGCACGGGTCGGACCCGTTTCTTCTTCCTTCCTATAGTCCTCTGCCCCACCCGGCCCCCAAATTGGTCCCACCCAGCCTCCCTGTTAAACCTCATCTCCCAGCTGCTGACACCCTGCTGTCCGTCGCGTCCCCCCACCCCCACCCCCAAGTCCGCGGGAGGAAGCGAGAGGCAGGCGCGGGGAAGTGGGTGGGCGCGGAACAGGCACTTGTCCGCACGCGTGGACAGGAGCGGCCAACGCAGGACGCCGGTGGCGTGGGGGACAGCTCTGGGGCAGGCGGCCAGGATGTTTCTGGAGCCCCAGGTAGGGCTGCGGCGGCGCGTGGCAGGTGTGGGGTGGCGGTCTGAAGAAGACAGCGGTGCGGGCGGGCGAGTGCGACCAGCCTAGGGTAACTCCTGGGTTGCAGCAGTACCGGGGTTCCGGTGGCCCTGAGCCTGGGAAGGGGAGGCGGTTGGAACCTACCCTTGGGAACAGTTCCCACTGTGCCTGCCCCACCCAGCCCCCCAACTTGCTGTCAGGTGGGCGGGGTCCAAGGCTCCAAATTGGTGGGCGGTGGCCGGCGCCCCTGCACTCCCTGGTAAGGCTGCCCCGACAGACCCCGTAGGAACCCCTGTGGGATGGACTGGCCAGGGGAAGTCGGAGACTGCAGCCTCAGAGGCAGGATCACCCTGAGGGTGGCCGCCCCCTGACAGGCACAGTCAGGCTTGTAAGAGCCAAAAGGACCCTGGATCCTTTCCCAGACTGGAAGGGTACAGAGCCACCTGTTTGCCCTGGAGGAGGAGGTACTGGCAAGGAGGTCTGTGAAGTGGGCATGTGGGAGCTGTGTATGTGTGATGTGTGGGCGGGAGTGAGAGTGTGTGAAAATGCTGGTATGTTTTGTATGGGGTGTGTGAAAGGGAGAGGCTTGTGGGGGGCCAGGATTATGCCTGTGTGGGTCCGCAGTGCCTGAAGGTCCGGAGGGAGGGGTGCTGTGGGGAGTACTCAGCTTCTTGTCCACTGGAAGGGAGAGAGCCCATGGAATTATTTCTAGACATGTAGCCGTTTTTGCATTTCCATGGCTCTTTATTAAAACCTTCCTTTTGAGACCAACCCCACAATGTGATTCAGCATGAACCCCCCACCCCAGACCTCCGGCCCCAGCAGGTGGGCACCAGCCCTGGCTATGCTGAGAAGCAGGACTCGTTTGTTCCTCCCTTCACTTCTCCAGCCCACATTTACTGAGCACCTGCTATACACAGGCACTGTGGATTCCGCAGGAAAACATAGGTACCACAGTCAGGAAAAAAGAACAACCCACAGGTGAAATATGTGATGGCACAGGGTGAGAAGGGCTGAAGAGAAAAAGTGGAAGAGAAGAATAGGGCACATTGAGGGTGCCTTGGTCAGGATGGCTTGGGTTACTGTGCAGTAACGAAACGACCCCAGGCCCAGGGGCGTCTGACAGAAGGTGTCATTGTCTCTTGTGTGCATGTCTGTCATGGGTCGGCTGGGCCCCTGCTCCAGGCTTCCACAGTCAAGAACCAGGGCTGACAACCCCATGGGCAGACAGAGGAGGGCACCTGGACTGACATTTAAATGCCCCAGCTCAGAGTGGCATGTGTCACTTCTACTCAAATGGCCTTTGAGCCAGCGAGTCTCACGTGGAATACGGTCCCAGTCAGCATCACACAGAGCTAGTAGTGAGAGTCCGGCTTCCCCTGGCCGCCGGGTCCCCCATGGCCGCAGGGCTCTGGCGTGCTCAGTGCTCAGCAGACTGACGGAGCGTGCGGGGTTGCGTATGGGGTAGGTGGTCAGGGGAGGCTCAATGGTGTGACTCACGCAGGAGGAAACGACAGGATGGTCTGGAAACGGCCAGGCAGTTTGGGAGAGGAAACTTCCTGTGTGTCAGGGTCAGACTGGAGGCTGGCTGTCAGGAGCAGAGTGGGGGACAGTGGGGGCTGGGGGGTACAGGGGCTCAGACCAGTTTGGATACAATTTGAAGGCAAAGTAGAAGGTCTTGCTGATGGCAGGGGTGGGTGCTGAGGTGGAGAGCCCACTCCAGGAAGGGGGATGGCACTCATTAAGATGGGAAGATGCAGGGGGAGCAGATGGGGGTGGGTGGGAGGTGGGGGCAGTTGTCTCCAGGAAGATGTCTCCTGGTAGAGGTTGGGGTGGGGGAAGCAGTGTGGAATTTGGGATGAGGTGAGGCCTAGAGTCTGATTACTCCTGTGTGCCCATTGTCACTACCTGGCCACACTGCGCCTGCCAGCTCAGGACAGTTGGCCCTGGCCCCAGCCTGTTCCAGCTACCATGCTCCCATCTTGCTGGGCCTGCCTATTTGGGGTCCCCTTCACGTGAGCTTCTTCAGTGGAGGTAGACAGTTGAGGGAGCCACAATACCTGTGCCCACCTGACTACTGTGGTCTGCTGGTCACATGCCCACCAGCCACAGGGACCATGCAGTGCAGAGTCTTTGAGGCCTGGACAGTATGGGAGGGCCCCTGGGGAAGCTGCCTGACCCCCTCTGGGCTCTTTGGGTTTCACCCCCTGGGGAAGTTCCTGTGAGTGACCAGAGGAAGACTGGGTCTTTGGAACTGGGGTGTGATCAAAATTCTGTTAGATCTCTTTGTTCTTCTTCCTCCTAATTCCCAGAAAACTGGTTATCATTAGAAGTCCATCTCCCCTCCAGGAAGCTCTCCATGATTTCTCCCTACAGTTAGTACCCCCCCCCCCATTCCCATTCTTCATCACCCAGCACAGACTCCAAATCTCAGAGAGCTCACACTGCACTGTAGTGTCTGTCTCCTATGACAAAAATGAGGTCCATGGGATCTTCCACTTTCAGTGGTGTGGCACAGGGAAGTAGGATGTTTGTTGACTGAACAAGTGAGGAAAGGAAGAAACATGAGGGATGGAAATGGCCCATAGATAATGCCTAGTTCTGCCTCCTTGGGTAACACTTGGGGAAACAGCTCCCCAGGGGACACTGGTGGCTGAATCAGTGAGTAGGTCAGTGGCCAGAGCTGGTTCCCAAAGACACCTCTGTGCTGCCAAGTTCTGGGCTGTCTGAGTCCTGTGG